TGTTGGCCTCCAATGATTGTCATCTTCTGGTATTTACACACTTCTGTGATTCTTTCACATTGAATAGGGCTGATTTGAAAAGCCAATAGGATGTTGTTGAATGTGACTTTTGATGTTATGAGACAGTGGGCTTCTGCCTTAGTCTCTTGCCCTATGATCATGGCTTTCAAGTGTGAAGTCAGTCAAGCAGACATATCAGAGGTCTGTGTAGTGAGAAATTGAGGGCTTCTGCCAAAAGCATCAACTTGCTGGCGTGAGTGTATTTTGAAACTGTCTAGCCCAAGTGAAGCTTTCAGATAATGGCAGCCTCATTAGACCCCCAGACTTCGACCAGCTCCCAATTTCTGATCTACTTATATAGTGTGAAATGTTTACTGTTGTGTAAAGCCACTAAGGTTGCAACAGATAATGTAATAGTTTAACTTTCTGGGAAGTAGAATGATCAGAAGAGACAAGTCACAGTATTATCCTCTTAACAGGGTACTTACTTATGTTATTCCCTAAGCAGCTTTTCCAATTTCTTCACATGAAAAGCATGCTATTAATTTGTTTATTGTGTGCCTCTCCTACAGTTCTTGAATCCTCACTGCCTACAATGCCTCCCACATGATTAAAAAGTAACTTAAAAATACTATTAAATAACTGGTCTTTTTGAAGTGACACACAAGCCAGACAATGCCCATTGGTGTTTTTCCAAGTCAACGTCTTAAGGCATTAAATGAGATGAAATTCTGCATAACTTGAGTTAAATTTTACATGGTCAAAGAACTAGGCTTAATCTGTAAAAGAGTAAAGTGGTTTGATACATTGCCTGTTATTTTTTAATAGGAAAATCTCCAGATACAGCCAAGATCAAAATATTAAAAAACAAGGGCTGGGGATATAACTCAGTTGGTAGAGTGCTTGCCTAGCATGCACAAAGCCCTGGATTCTATCCCCAGCATGACAAAACAAAACAAAATTCAATCTGGGCCTAGATTGCAAGTTTGAGGCCAACCTATGCAATTTAGTGAGACCAGTTCAAAATTAAAAAAAACCTAAAAGTGCTGGGAACATAGCTCAGTGGTAGAGTGCTCCTGAGTTCACTCCCCATTTAAGGCCAAAAGTAAAAACGAAAAACTTGAGGGGCTGGAGTTGTGGCTCAGTGGTGGAGTGCTTGCCTTATATGTGTGAGACACTGGGTTCGATTCTAAGCACCACATATAAGTAAATGAATAAGAAAAAAGAAAAACTTGAAACTATGGGAAGAACTTTCAGGTAGTAGACGCTTCAGAATTTGAAATAATACCCAGGAGCCAAAAGGGCTATTAATTATACCAAAATGACTTCCTGCACATACTAAGCAGAAAAAGTCAAAATGATAAACTGTAAGAAAAAAAAAAAATGTATCACAAAAAGGCCTTGAGCCGCTCTCCCCCTTGGCTCATTCTTCAGAGCACTACTTTCACCTTCACCTTCCCTAAAGCTTTGCTTTGCCAGTTTTAAAATAAAGCAGCAACAGCACAGCTTGTCACAAAGAACCTAGGACACTTCAAGGCCATGGCTTTCCCATTTCTCCAACTTACCCACACAAGTAAGTTTTGAGATCAAAGTGTTCAAACCTTGGATTCATCTTTGGAAATTACCTGGTTACACATAAAATGTGAAAGCCCCATCCAAACCTACTAAATCAGGAGATAAATTTATTAACATTTAAGTAATTCTATTGTGATGCTTGCCTAGCAGAATGACTAAATAAATAAATAATATTAAAATAGGGAAAACAACTTTGTCTTAAAAATTTAGGAACTGCATGTTTCAGACCACTATGTTGCTTTTCAACCTTTGCTCAAAAGGGAAATAATTGTGAAGGTAAACCTGGGCTTCAAAACTAGCCTGGGCTGGGGATGTGGCTCAAGCGTAGCGCACTCGCCTGGCATGCGTGCGGCCCAGGTTCGATCCGATCCCCAGCACCACAAAGAAAGATGTTGTGTCCGCCGAAAACTAAAAAATAAATATTAAAATTCTCTCTTAAAAAAAATCAAAACTATCTAGCCTGAGGCAGAGCACGAAATTTATGATCAACTTGAATACTAAAATGCATTTTTTTTGGTACCGGGACAGAACCCAGAGGTGCTTAACCACTGAGCAACATTCCCAGCCCTTTATATTTTTTTAATAGGGTCTCACAAAATTGCTGAGGCTGGATTTGAATTTTCGATCCTCCTGCCTTAGCCTCCATAGTTATGGAGGGATTATAGCATGAGCTATCATGCCCAACAAAAAGCATATTTCTAAATTTGACAAAAATTAAAAACTTGGTAGCCAGGTATAGCAGATACCTGTAATCTCAAGTAACTTGGGAGGCTGAGACATGAGGACAGCAAGACAGAGGCCAAAACAAAGAAAAACTAACTTTAGTATATCAGACATCAACACAAACAGAAATGTATATACATATTAATGGCACATACTACTTTGGCACATGCCTATAATCCCAAAGGTTTGGGAGGCTGAGGTAGGAGGATTTGGGGTTCAAAGCCAGCATTAGCAACTTATGAGGCCCTAAGCAACTCAGCAACTGTCTCTATAAAAAAAAAAGAAACACAAAAAAAGGGCTGGGGATATGGCTCAGTTCAGTCCCTGGTACAAAAGACATAGCCATTAGCTGAGATTGTTGCTTAGGAGTTAACTCTAGAACAGGTTGGAATCTTTTTTTTTTAAGAGTGGAAAGTAGAAGCTTTATTGAGGACAGCAGAAAAGAAGAAAAGACTTCTCCCTGGAGGAAGAAAAGGACTGAAGAGGTGGGAGGTTGGAATCTTAAATTTCTCGCTGTTTATCTCCTTCAGTGAAAATGTTTCATTTTCTTTCTGTTAAATCCAACTTATGGGGGCTGGGATTGTGGCTCAGTGGTAGAGTGCTTGTCTCATATGTGTGAGGCACTGGGTTCAATTCTCAGCACAGCATATAAATAAATAAAGGTCCATCAACACCAAAAAAATTTTTTTTTAAATCAACATACGGTATACTAAATATGTAAGTAATGAACTACCTGTTCCCCAATACCAGTGTTGATCAGCAGAATTAATTCAAATAATGTGTTCTAAATGCTCAGAAGTAGCTAGCAAAAGCCAAAGGATAAAGTTTTAAATAGCATCTTGAAGTCCAAATTCTGGCTTTGATACTTCCTACTGAGAGTCCTTGGTTATTTATTATTACCACCACAAAGTTCCTACCTTGGAAAACAGAAGGCATTCAGCCTATGTTAGTGACTATATCTCGCCTTGCATGTTTTTGCCAAATAGATTAAGTAGTAGTGTTATTTTGAAAACTGGAAATATTCATTCAGGAAATAAATTTTTCAACACAAAAATTAAGAAACGAGGCATTAAAAAAAGAAACAAAACCCAAACAATGGATTCATCAACCAAAGACTATACTACAAGGTTGTTATATTTAAGCCAGAATTTTTAAAAGTATAAATCCATGGCTTTGTATCAGGATGAAACAACTATGTAATAAAGTTAAATTCAACATGAAAAGTCATCTATCTAGAAACCTCCTTTCTCAGAATTTTCTAGATTACTTGAAAAAAGCATAAGCTGGAGAACTCTAAACCACCTTAAGTTATAAAATAAAGACTAACCATTCATTACATATTTTATTTGGAAATGTTTACACAAGTACGGGGAAACTAAGATTTTGAGACAGTGGATGTTATTAGATTATCATCAGTTTATTATAAAAGACACATGGAAATTATTTACATGATGAAAGATCTCAGAACTTCAGTGGAATGGGCAGCTTCATAGGATGCCATTTCAACAGTGATTTGTTTCAGTCTACATACTTTCCAAGAATGTCACCATCTCTAAATAAGAAATAATCCTGCAAATAGAGAAACTATTAGTTAAGACAGCTAAGAGCAAATACTTAACTTCTTTTTAGAACTATTAACTTTACATACCTTGTCATCTAGAACTACTTTGGTGCCTCCATACTCTGGGAGAAGAACTTTATCTCCAACTTTCACACTAACTGGCTGAATCTCTCCACCCTTAAGATAATAAAGATGTTTATCAGCAAATACATCCAGTTCACTTAACTTTTTAAAAAATATATATATATTTTTTTGTAGTTAGACACAATACTTTTTTTTTTTTTCATGTGGTGCTGAGGATGGAACCCAGCACCTTGCATATGCTAGGTAGTGCTCTACCGCTGAGAAACAATCCCAACCCTCACTTAATGAAGGTAACTGGGTGGCTACTTTATACTAGAATTGCAGTTTTTCACAACAAAAACATCACTTTAAAATCCTAATTTGCAATAAGGAACATACTTCAACTAAAACTCAGGTTCTGACTTCAGGGTAAAAACCCAAGGAATTTTACTGGAAAAGCAAAGTTTAACTAACCAAACCTAACTTTAAAATTGTTAAATATTAACATAATCTATGGACACGTGAAATAAAAGGATTTCTTGAAAGTCCTCCTATTCCTAATTCCAGGACAGTTCCTTAGTGGAACTAAGTTTGAGGAGACTGGAACAATGTGGTTATCATATTTGACTCCCAAATATATATAAAAGCATTTACTGTCCGACACTTTTAAAAGCTGGAGGTCTACACAGTTAACTGGAGAAAATTTACAAGGATAAGGTCAACTGTTCCTTTCACAGGTATGCCAACAAAGGTCAATGATTGGAGTTAATTTCAGTGAATTGTTAAAAAACCCAGTGACTTCTTGAGACATAACCTTCTGTCTAGTCAAAAATTTAGAATTTGAAGAAAACGATCATAAGGAACCTACCAAAAAGCTAAGTACAATTTCAACACTGGAAATAAGGACAATTTCAATACACTGGAAATCCCTATCATATAAAACAAGCAAAGTGATTATTTTACAATCACTTTCATTAAAATAAGGTTAGAGATTACCTAGAAAATAACACAAGATTTTCTTACTTCTTTTTCTTGCAATGCACACAAAAATATTAGTTCCACACTGTGGCCCATTTACCTTTCCTTTAGAGCCTGATCCCACAGCTACTACTGTTGCTTGCAATACTTTTCCTTGAGATTTTTCTGGAAGCATAATGCCTCCTTTGGTTACAGTTTCGGCTGCACTCCTTTCGACCAATACTCGGTCAAAAAGTGGAAGAAACTTCCTAAATGCTTGTCCAGCCTGTTTAAAAAAAAATGTTAAAAGAGCTGAAACAACACTATGTAAATTACATTCAACAGACCACACCACTATAAGCATTACATCTAACATGTTGAGTTCAAAGTTAATACCAAAATTTATATTATTCACAGGAGGTGAATTTGAACGTTCCGCTTTATAAATCAAGTTTAATTCCCATTCCCTATGTCCCTTTAGGGTCGTTGTGGCTTCTCGCCATCAGCAACCAGTCTATTTTTAGGGGTAACCTTAGTTTTATTCCAAGGTCAAATATTTTCCGTCCTCAGGTTTTCTGGACATTTTCAGGAAACGATGAAGGTCAATCTTTTTACTTGAGGCCATGCTCTTTCTCCAAGACACACACCCACGAAGGCCCCGCAGAAGCAGGCTGGCAGCCACGCACGCGTCCAAGTTCCCGCCCCCTACCCACCACGCCTGCGGAACGCGTACGTCCAAAAATCTCGCGGTGGAGGAAGGGGTCGAGCGGGGCTCGCCTCCCCGGGGTACAGGTGGGGGCGGTCACCAAGTGGCCCACCATATCACCTACCAGGCCCAAAAGAGGGCCGCTAGGGACTCCCCGTTGGATCCTAACCGAGCAGGATCCGGCGGCTTCCGGGCCACGCAGGACTCACCATGACTCGCGCCGCCGCAGCTCGGACTCTGCTCTCGTGCCGCCGCCGCAAAGAGACTCGCAGTCCGGCCCTCGGAACACGTGAAAAGACCGTCCCGCGCGCACGCGCGATGGACCCTGCCCCGCCCCCGCCCCCGCCCTCGGGAGAGAGGGCGGCCGCGCCAGCGCGCGCCGTGATTCGTCCCAAGGACTCAGCGCAGGCCACTGACGCGAGGGCTGGGAGGCGGAAGAAAAGAGGCGCTCTTTCTAGGCTTTTCTAGGCAGCCAGCCCAGGTGAAAGATCTACCCCTGTTTCCCCTCCCGGAAATGACGCGATTTGACCCTTGACTCTAAGAGAGCGCGGAGCTTTCCGGAAAGTTCTGGAACTGAGAGTGGCCCGGGAACTAGCCTAAGCGGGCAAGAGGACTGGGCCCGCTAGCCTGACCCTGCGCGGGTAGGAGGGGCGGGGCTCGCGAGCAAGTTATGCTGATGGCCGGGCCCGCCGACTCGGAGGGGGCGGGAGCCGCCTGCACGCGCGGTGCCGCAGGGCGGGTGGGGGGGGTAAGGGGTGGCGGAGGGAGGGGATTCGGGCTCATTGCCGTGTGCGCCTTGCACTCTGTCCCTCACTCGCCGCAGACGGTCTGCCTTGCCGCGTGCACTCCCTGCCGACGCCCCGCAGGTACGCGGCCGCCTTGCGCCGCTTCGTTCTAGGACTGGCGACCCCGGAGTAGGCCTTCCTCCAACGCAGACGTCCCTGAGAGTGCCGGCGGGCTACAGCCGGTACTTCTCCACGGCTCTGCGGGCCTAGCCGGCGGAGCCAGGCCTCGCGCGGCCATGAGGGTTCCTATCACGTGCGGACGGTTCGCGGCCCCAGTCCAGGCGTGGGAAGGAGGGCGGACATGCCTGCGGGATAGAATCTGGGGGTAGTAGCTACTTGGGCGCTCATGTGCAACCCGCTCCAGGCCGATTGCGGGGCGCCAAGGCGAGTGGTAGCTTCCGTGAAGGAACTGGTTTTTGCCCCGCTGGTAGCAGAAATACTGTACCTCCTTTTTTGACCTTGCTGGGGGCGTCCTGAAGGGAAGACACGTGGGGCTGCGGAGTGGGCCGGGCGGGTGCCCTCCTCATCGCGGCCTTGGTAATTTGTTCTGATACAGTAACCTCGGGTGGATACTTGGAGACAATTTTTGCTGAGCGGCGTTTTGCATCGCCAAGTATACCTATACTTACGTGCTCACTCGGATTTGTAACCTTCCTCTCTACTCCCACTGCCTGGGTTTCGCAGGGACATTTTTGGAGTGGTTCTTCTTTCAAGGCCATTTTAGCTGTAAAATATTAACTCGTTTGGAGCGACTGGGGTAGGTGGCCACGGGAAAGGAATTGGATATGCTTTGTGCTAGTGCTGTAGGTCAGGCCTGGGGGCGTCTTTTCTAAGCTAGGGTTAGTAACTGTTCTGAAGCTGCCCCTGCGTTCCATGGCTCTGACATAGTGGTGGTTATCAGAGGTCAGCCCACATCAAACGTTGCATGTATTTTATTTTTTTTTTAAACACAGGTGGACATGTCTCTGCTGAGACCCGAGAGTAGTGCTATTATTGATCATCTCCTTTTCTTCCCCAGAAATGCTTCGACTACCCACAGTCCTTCGCCAGATGAGACCAGTGTCTAGGGCACTGGCTCCTCATCTCACTCGGGCTTATGCCAAAGATGTAAAATTTGGTGCAGATGCCCGAGCCTTAATGCTTCAAGGTGTAGACCTTTTAGCCGACGCTGTAGCTGTTACAATGGGGCCAAAGGTATCAGTATTCTTTATTATTTTAATTACAATATTATTAAGTAAGGGATAACGTTTTGTTAATGTAGGTAGTCTCACTGAACTATGGAACAGTACTTAAAAGAATTTGAAGCTATTGTATTTTCTGGGGACGGTTTTTTGTTTTGTCTATCTAGTTGTCTATCTAGATCTAGTGGTCTTAAAACTTAAACTGCTTCAGCCAGATCGACCATTTATTTTGTACAGTGTGTGATGTAATCGGGAAGTAACTCATAGCTCAAGGTGGATTCTTAAAACTTAGAGGTACAATTTGCCTACTTGAAATTTTGGATCTTTTCCCAGTAGTTAATGTTAAGTATAGAGGGATGAAAGAGTATGGCTTATGTCTTACCATATCTCAAATGAGTGTGTGTTTATATTGTAGTAAAATATGCTTAAAAAAAATTTATACTTTATTGTGGATCAGGGCCTCCTGAATGCTGGGCAGTTGTTTTACCCCTGCAATTACATCCCCATCCATTTTTGTTTTATTTTGAGGCAGGTTCTCTAAGGTGGCCTCCAACTTCCTGATCTTCCTGGTGCAGCCTCCTGAGTAGCTGGGATTACAGGCATGTGCCACCCTAGCTAAAATTTTACCCTTTTTTCTTTTTATGTGTATACTTTAGGAGCATTGATTACATTTTCATTGTGCAACCATCTCTGCCATCCATCTCCACAACTTTTTTCATCTGCACTTGGAAAACTATTGCCCATAGATAATAGTGTGTTTATGCCATCACTTGTTCCAAAGCACATATAAAATTCTATATCATTGAATACTGAGTGGCAATATTTTGAGGAAGCCTTTGAAGGTGGTATGCAGCCAAGTGATGCTTCTTTTATCTGCTCAGTTATAAAATATTCCATTTCACATTCAGGAATAGAAAGTAGTAGCTTGGTTGAGATCCCAACACTTCCAGTCCTATACGTGCTGTGTTTAATGTTTAGTAAACCTGGAAGAGCAGACTGTTTAATGATGGTTATTATTTTGTTGAATTTAAAGCAAACAGGCATTAGCCAAAACTTAAGTGTGAAATATTTTAATAATGTTCTGGAATTTTATAGTTTGTCTTGTGTTCTTGTTCATTTTATGACATCTTTTAGTCCCTAGGATTTTTACCTCCCATAATACCTCATTCAAAGTTAATGCTCTTGGCAGAGAAGTGGAGAGGTCATTTTGTCTGTAAACCAAGAATGTGGATGAACTTGCCCTTGAGGTTCATATTGTGGGACTGATACGAATGACACAATTTGTATTGAGGATTTTAAATAGTTGCCCAAAGTGATCTTGTCATATTTTTTTCCCTCTGCAATTATAGGGAAGAACAGTAATTATTGAACAGAGTTGGGGAAGTCCCAAAGTAACAAAAGATGGTGTGACTGTTGCAAAGTCAATTGATTTAAAGGATAAATACAAAAATATTGGAGCTAAACTTGTTCAAGATGTTGCCAATAATACAAATGAAGAGGCCGGGGATGGCACCACCACTGCTACTGTACTGGCACGCTCTATTGCCAAAGAAGGCTTCGAGAAGATTAGCAAGGGTGCTAATCCTGTGGAAATCAGGAGAGGTACGAATGTCTTTATTTCACTATTTCTAAAAATACTACTTTTTGGAAGTAAGACTTCTTTTCTGTCATACAATGGAGTGAGAGGTGTTGAGTAAACCTTAGAGACAGGCAACATACTTTAATTAGAAAGACTTGAAATTATACCCATGGACCTTTTCTTGGTCCGGTTTTCAAAATAATTTTGGTATTGTGAGACTCGGTTTACTAGGTAAATCTTAAGTTACTGCTTCATTGCGTATTATCCAACTCCATGTGATTAGGGAAAGCACTGGTACAAAAGCTGTATACAGGCTTAATTAAGGGATTAAAATATTAGTCATGAGCTGGGAGTGTAGCTCAGTGGTAGAGTGCTTGCCTGGCATGCATAAGAACCCTTGGTTCAGTGTGTAGTACCAGTAAATAGTCACCTCAGTATTTCTACTGTACATGGAAGTAATGAAACCAATATATGTTTTTGAACTAGGTGTGATGTTAGCTGTTGATGCTGTAATTGCTGAACTCAAGAAGCAGTCTAAACCTGTGACAACTCCTGAAGAAATTGCTCAGGTAAGGACATTTTGTAATGTTATGATAAGGGTTTGCTTTTAGTGATATGTATGGGTTGGTATGTTATTGTTTTGGTTTTTTTCATACTTGGGATTGAATCCAGGGGTGCTTTAACACTGAGCTACATCCTCCAATCCTTTTTATTTTCTGTTTTGAGGCAGGTCTTCCTGAGTTGCCCAGGCTGGGTTATCCTCTTTCTTTAGCATCCCCAGTTGCTGGGTTTGCCTGCTAATGCCACCATGCCCTGCACTTCTAAAATGTTTTTAAAATTCTCTTGCCATAATTTGTGCTTGAGATAAAACCAGGGCCTTTGCACATGCTAGGCAAGACCACCAATTCACATCCCTAGCCCTGTCATTTAGATCTTTATGGGTTATTCTGTGTGGCTGTAAAATGGATTCATACACACATGAACATGTTCTTGATTCTTGTCAGTTATGCTTTTACTTGCAATGCTAGGGATTGAATCTAGGGTCTTTCATGTGACAGGCAAGCACTCTTATTATGGAGCTATACTCCTACCCTTGATGTCAATTTATGATATCACCTCATTTGCCAACAAAAAATGAGATCAGTTTTTTCTTGCTGTTTTTGTTTAAGATAATGTATTTGGGCTGGGGTTGTGGCCCAGCAGTACAGTGTTTGCCTAGCATGCACTTTGGGTTCGAGCCTCAGCACCACATAAAATTAAGTAAAATAAAAGTATTGTGGAAGGGCTGGGATTGTGACTCAGTAGGTAGCACACTTGCCTGGCATGTGTGAGGCATTGGGTTCGATTCTCAGCACCGCATATAAATAAATAAAAAGTATCAGCAACTAAAAAAAAATAAAGAAAAATAAAGGTATTGTGTCCAACTACAATTAAGAAATAAATATTTTTTTAAAAGATAGTGTATTTATTCCGTCTTCAAAGTAATAAATTTAAAAAGCACTGAACCAGAGAATCAATATTTGATTAAATCTACCACATACACACCTATAATCCCAGCTACTGGGGATCTGAGGCAGGGGTTTCCAAAGTTCCACACCAGCCTGAGCAACAAGACTTGGTGTCAAAATTAAAAACAAACAAACAAAAAACCAAGTTTTAAAGGCCTGGGGTGTTGCTTATATATTGTTACGTGTGAGGTCTCGGGTTCAATATCCAGTATGGAAAAGAAAAAATTATGTAGTGAATTCCCCTTTCTTCTGGATAGAAGTATCAGTTTGGAAGCTACTAGGAAACTCCAAGGGTATTGA